ATTTCAGATCGGATATCCAAATATCTGGATCTAAATCCGATTTTTGTTAGAACAACAACCAAAAAAAAGAAAAAAAGAACAAATGATTAAAGTTCCCTTTCTTTTGTCGTTTTAGTTAAAATTATTTGACCAAATAATTAATAATAATTAAACTTTCTTTCGTTAAAGTTACTTAGCACCTACATTAGTTTAAACATTTATAAAGTAAACAAACATATTTTCCTAGATTGTTTTATATATTTTATTACAGAAAATTGAAACCAGCACTTCCCACTTGGACTAAGAATCTTCCAAGATATCCATGAGGGCAATATTACATTAAAATACGGTACAAGTACATAAATAATCACCCCTAGTTACTACGGGTGTATTCGGTTCGATTTTCTACTAAAAATTGAACCAAATCAAAATAAATGGATTTTTAGAATTTAAACCGAAACCGAATAGTTACTACAGGTGTATTCGGTTCGGTTTTTTAATGAAAAATTCACTTGAAACTATAAAAAAATTTAAAAAATTGTCTATTCATATCAATTTGGAACAAATGGATTCCATATGGAAAAACCGAACCGAATCAATAGAATTGAGACTTTAAACCAACCTGAAAACCGAACCATATAAGATCAAACCGAACCATTTTACTCGATTCGTGTCGATTTTCTCGATTTCGTTGCTCAACCCTAACTGGAGCAGACAAAGAGTTTAAGTTGGGTGATTGCCAGTTAAACAGCTCTCTGGCACAAATGAACTTTCGCACTAGGGGAAATTAACTTTGGCACTAAAGTAATAAGTAATACCCGGTTTGAAAGAATCCATATAGCCCAAATAGCTCTGGGTTTGAAACCTACTAATATAGCTTAATTTTTTTAGATTTTTGGATAATCCGAAATTAGATTTTTATCGATCCGTATTTGATCCGAAAATCTGGAAAAAAAATATCGGATACCCGATCTGAACTATCCGAAAATTGAAAAACAGATCGAATATCTGAATTTTCGGATCGAATCAACAGATCAGATCGATCAGATCGGTTTTTTTCACACCCCAAAATGCAAGATATCTAAAATAGATTTATCCTAAACAATACTTATTGAGATTTTAGTTCATTTTATATTTTTCTTAAGCTCATATTATTAATCTATCAGCTGATCGGATTCATATCTCCAAAGCAAACTCCACAACCTTGACAATGGCTCACTCTCATTCTGCACAAAACCCAGGTTTTCTTCTTCTCCTTCTTCTTCTTCTTCTACAATGTTATCCCGATTCCAGATTCTTTTTTAATCTACTTTGAAAGAGAAGAAAAATGACCCTATCTGAAATTGTAGTGACACACAGTTGAGCTAAGTTTGATAATACGTCAAGTTCAAGTTTGAGTTTTTTCGAACTCGAGTCAAACTTCAATTTTTTCTTTTGAATTTGAATCGTACTTAAAAAAATTTAATCACACAAATTTTCGAGTTGAATTAACTTTAAAATTTTCGAATTGAGTCAAATTTAACAATACTCGAGCTCTACAGCCCTATTCATAACACAGTACTTGGTTGTAATTTAACTTGTTTCACGATATATTTTCAGCGAAAGTGAAGGTCCGCTACAGTTTGGTGCCTTTTATCGAGAAGCTGATGATATACGCACTGTAGTTCAGCACTTCTCCGGGGAAAATCGTGTCGTAAGTGCAATTCTCGGGCATAGTAAAGGTGAGGTACCGTTGGAAGTGTTAGGGAACACTCGTAATTTTTATAACTCGTACGATGTTATTAATACAAACAAAATACGATATAGCGACCTTAACCTGACACTAATTTCAATTAATTTACAAACTTCACTATGCTAAGATATCTATTTTTTTTCATACACTCATACATGTATTACACACACATGCATTGCATATATGTCTACATTCTTCTTCTTATCTCTATTGCGTTTTCTTGTTTATTTTCCAAGCCTCATCTTCTTAATTGATAAACCTTTTCTAAGCTGCTGCAAAATCACCAATTTGTTGTTGCCGCCATTGACCCACAAGTGTCCGTGATAAAGCTTCTTTAATATGCAGCCACCTTTCCATGCCGTTGTCAGAAAAACCATTTCCCATGTGCTTGTTTCTACGTGGTTCTATTCGGTGGCGGATGTATGTAGCTTTTATAAGGAGAAACTGCATGCACGTTATTTTGGAAAAATTACTAAATTTAATTTAATATATTAAAGAGAAAAAATAAAGAAATTTTCATACCCAAATTTTTTAAAAATTAGAATATTAAAATTTTTGGAACTCCTATTTTTTAATTTTTAAATCCATCACTGGTTCTATCTTTGCCGACGTCAAAGTTTGCCGACATGAAATTTTATGAACTAGTTAAGCAACAAGATATCGTTATCAAGTCTCTCCATCGGCGTTTTTCTACCGTGATTTCGATTTACGTAATCCGGTGACCGGAGATAATGTACTGCAGGAGCAAGTGTGGTGCTCCTTTATGCTTCTAAGTATCGAGATATCGGAGTAGTCGTAAATGTTTCCGACTGCTACGACGTGAAGAAAGGCCTTGCAGAAACCTTGGGAGAGGACTATATGCTAAGAATTAAGAAGGATGGATACATCGATATCAAGAACAAGACGAATTTATTTTCTTTAAGCATCTGCGTGTGATGAACGAATAACGCATAATTTTATGTCTAAAGATAGTCCGTCCAGCTCAGTTGGTAGAGCACAAGGCTCTTAATCTTGTGGTCGTGGGATCGAGTCCCACGGAAATCATTTCATAATTCGGAGGTCTCCAAGAAAACTACTCTCAACCTGACGTTGAGACAGCCTACTATCATACCTCCCCTTATCAATGAGAAAAAAGAGTCAACTAATTTTTATGTCAAAAGATAAAATTTTAAAATTTCTAAGACGAAAATAAATTATTAATAAATATATATATATAACCAAATTATATGATTGATTGGAGAGCATATCAGGTTTAATGACATTTACACATTTAGGATGCGTTGAATACCGCCAGACCGAGGAAGATTTGATGGATATCTTGAGAACCGACATTCCTAAAGCTTGTCTTAAGATCGATAAAGAATATCGGTAAGACTCGAATCTATAATCTGTTTAAAATCATTATTTCATCTTTTAAATTTTATAAGTTCGTCAACTTTAAATTTTCATACGTTTGTATCTTTTAATATAAAATTTTACGTTTATCTTGTATGCATGATCTTAACTATTCATGGATCTGATTTTAAAATAAATCCGGCCGAGGATGCACTGAAGTTTGTCAAAATCATATTTAATCACCGATTATTCATTATAAAAGGTGCCGATCATTTTTACACCTCGCATCAGATGGAGTGGAGGTCGGCTGTTGTTAAATTTATAAATCCGACCTTAGAGTAAGATAAGATTGTCCTAAAATAAGTTGTTTTATGTGAACCATGGATGATATTCGATTCTACTATGATATAGAACACTTATAATTTTCTGTCTACATTATTACTATTACAATAATAGAGAATTTATGGGTTTGAGCTTTTAAGTATTGTATTCCGGAACACATACCGACTTTTGAAAGATATTTAGAACATACACTGTTTTTTTATGCTTCATTTATGTTCGTGAAATTGTGTTTTCTCATAAAACATTGAAGACACCGTGTCTCACCTCTTCTGAATGTCTTCTATGAAATACTGTATCATTCACCTTAAATGAGAAAATAATCCCCATATATATAAGAAAATCAATTTTGCAAAGTATTATATGACCAAATTTATCCTTTTTATTGTTACAAGTAGAATATTTAGTAAAATTAACACTGTATGCAGGGACGGAGCTCCCTTAGGGCCTAAGGGGCCCGATCATTGTTAAAATTTATATATTCAATATAATTTCGGTTCATGTAAAAATAAATATTTAAATTTAAAAAAATATTAAAATTTATTAAATATTTAATCAAGTAGGGTCGAACTAAAGAATGATAAGTTTGTGTTCTCAAATTTTTGGTCTAATTATAATTTAAGTCACTGTAAGTTTAAATATTAGACAAATTAGAAGTTGTCTTTTGAGTTTTTTTTTTTAATTTAAGGTGAATACAAGGTAATATCTATATAAAGACTTTTAACTATTTGACAATGAACGTTCATATCCCTACGTGCTTGAACTCGAGACCTCAAGGATAACAATAATCTCTTAATCACTAAGATCGCTTGTTTCATGTTGAATTTCGAGTTTAAATACCTAATAAGCCTTTATATTTTTCTTAAATAATCTAATATTTCGGCCCAACCAATATTTAATTTTGGCTCTATACTGACGGTATGAATAAAGGTTGTCTCATTCCACCTAAAGAACCATAGTTTTGAGCTTTATAATTTTTTTATATTTAATTTCAATAAGGTGAAGACATATATTACCGTATTGTTACGTCATTACGTTATAACTTTAATGAAATTAATTAAAATATAAAGTAACAAAAATGTCACGTTAATATTAAAAAACAATTAATAAAAACACGTCAGCATCACGTTATAGTCAGCACGATCATTGACTTGCAGTCGATCAGTTTTCAAGACCAGCACTTGCATTATTGAATCAACTTTCAGGATTTGGACAGAATCCCAGGAGGTAAAGGCTTTCTTTTTCATCTTGACAACCATCGTCTAAATTCGGAAAGTACTTGTTTCACATGCATTCGAACAACTCTCTGATTTGGACCACCGTGCCACACTAATGATTGCATTGTTCGATGAGTAACGATTGATTTTTTTTTCTTCTAATTAGCATCAATGATTGATTTATTCAAAAATTATGGACATTTTAAAATTTTGAAGAAGTTTAAATAGTAAATTATGAATTTATATTCTATTCAATTAGACCTTTAAAACAGTGTATTATATGTTCAAAATGATTAAACGGTAAATGAAAAATCGATGTTTAAAGTATACTATTTGTAAATATTATTAAGAGAAAATGATACTTTGGAAGGATATAAAGTTTGAAACCAATACATTGATTAGTGAATGCAAGATATCTAAAACATTTTTATCCTAAACAAGACTTATTGAGATTTTAGTTCATTTTATATTTTTCTTAAGCTCATATTATTAATCTATCAGCTGATCGGATTCATATCTCCAAAGCAAACTCCACAACCTTGACAATGGCTCACTCTCATTCTGCACAAAACCCAGGTTTTCTTCTCCTTCTTCTTCTTCTTCTACAATGTTATCACGATTCCAGATTCTTTTTTAATCTACTTTGAAAGAGAAGAAAAATGACCCTATCTGAAATTGTAGTGACCGAGCAGCGGAGAGTGATTATTACGAACAAGCATGGAGAAAAACTGGTGGGAATCTTGCATGAAACTCAGTCTAAAGAGATCGTAGTCTTGTGTCATGGTTTCAACCGCAGCAAGGTTGGTACTTTTTTTCTTCTTCTTCCTTTTCTCAAATTTGGATCATTTTCTGCTCTTTTTACTAGCTCATATCTGTTTATTGGGTGAATTGTAAATTTGTAATATTTCATGGAAATAGCTCACTTGGGTTAGTTCCACTTCAGGATGACATTATTCTGGTGAACCTTGCTGCTGCTTTAGAGAAAGAAGGAATCAGTGTCTTCCGTTTCGATTTTTCAGGAAACGGGTGAGCACGATTAAAATAATGTTATTCGAATACAAGTAATGCATATCCATACTAAAGTATCATGTGCATCACTGCTTCGAAGAAAACACAGTTGAGCTAAGTTTGATAATACTTCAAGTTCAAGTTTGAGTTTTTTCGAACTCGAGTCAAACTCAAATTTTTTATTTTGAATTCGAGTCGTACTTAAAAAATTTTAATCACACAAGTTTTCGAGTTGAATTAACTTTAAAATTTTCGAATCGAGTCAAATTTAACAATACTCGAGCTCTACAGCCCTATTCATAACACAGTACTTGGTTGGAATTTAACTTGTTTCACGATACATTTTCAGCGAAAGTGAAGGTCCGCCACAGTTTGGTGGCTTTTATCGAGAAGCTGACGATATACGCACTGTAGTTCAGCACTTCTCCGGGGAAAATCGTGTCGTAAGTGCAATTCTCGGGCATAGTAAAGGTGAGTACCGTTAGAAGTGTTAGCGAGCACTCATAATTTTTATAACTCGTACGATGTTTTAATACGAACAAAACACGATATAGCGACCTTAACCTGACACTAATTTCAATTAATTTACAAACTTCACTATGCTAAGCTCTCTATTTTTTTCCTTACACACATACATGTATTACACACACATGCATTGCATATATGTCGACTACACATATTATAAGTAAAGGCAAAATAAAACGCCTAAAGACATCTCTACATTGGTAAACCAATTCTAAGCTGCTGCCAAATCACCAATTTGTTGTTGCCGCCATTGACCCACAAGTGCCCGTGATAAAGCTTCTTTAATATGCTGTAACCTTTACATGCTGTTGTCAGAAAAACCCATGTGCTTGTTTCTACCGTGATTTCGATTTACGTAATCCGGTGACCGGAGATAATGTAATGCAGGAGGAAGTGTGGTGCTCCTTTATGCTTCTAAGTATCGAGATATCGGAATAGTCGTAAATGTTTCCGGCTGCTACGACGTGAAGAGAGGCCTTGCAGAAGCCTTGGGAGCGGACTATATGCAAAGAATTAAGAAGGATGGATACATCGATATCAAGAACAAGACAGGTAATTTGTTGATTTAATTTACTAGATGTGTATGGTTTCCCGAATTTATTTTCTTTATGTATCTACGTGTTGAACGACTAACGCTGAATTTTATGTCTAAAGATAAATTTTTAAAATTTTTAAGACGAAAATAAATTATCGATAGAATTATATGTTTGATTGGAGAGCATTTCAAGTTTAATGACATTTACACATTTAGGATGCGTTGAATACCGCTTGACCGAGGAAGATTTGATGGATATCTTGAGAACCGACATTCCTAAAGCTTGTCTTAAGATCGATAAAGAATGTCGGTAAGACTCGAATCTATAATATGTTTAAAATCATTATTTCGTCTCTTAAATTTTATAAGTTACTCACCCTTAAATTTTTATACGTTCGCATCCTTTAACATAAAATTTTACGTCTATCCCGTATGCAGGGTTTTAACCGTTCATGGATCCGATGATGACATAAACCCGGTCGAGGATGCACTGAAGTTTGCCAAAATCATAATTAATCACCGATTATTCATTATAAAAGGTGCCGATCATTTTTACACCTCGCATCAGATCGAGTTGACATCGGCTGTTGTTAAATTTATAAATCCGACCTTAGAGTAAGATAAGATTGTCCTAAAATAAGTTGTTTTATGTGAACCATGGATGATATTCGATTCTACTATGATATAGAACACTTATAATTTTCTGTCTACATTATTACTATTACAATAATAGAGAATTTATGAGTTCGAGCTTTTAAGTATTGTATTCCGGAACACATAACGACTTTTGAAAGACACTTAGAACATACAATGTTTTATTTTATGCTTCGTTTATGTTCGTGAAATTGTTTTTTCTCATAAGACATTGAAGACATCGTGTCTTCTGAACATCTTTCGTAAATTGTCACATTTTCTGTCACCTTTTCTGAACGTCTTATGTGAAATACTGTATCATTCACCTTAAATGAGAAAGTAATCCCTATATATATAAGAAAATCAATTTCACAACCTATTATATGACCAAATTTATCCTTTTTATTGTTACAAGTAGAATATTTAGTAAACTAACATTGTATGCAGGAACATAGCTCCTTTAGAGTCCAACGGGGGATCGACTACTGTTAAAATTTATACATTCGATATAATTTTAGTTTAATAGTATTTTGGTTCATGTAAAAATAAATAGTAAAATTTAAAATATAAATATAAATATTTATTAAATATTTAATCAAGTAAGGGTCAAACTAAAGAATGATAAGTCTGTATTTTCAAATTTTTGGTCTAATTGCAATTTAAGTCATTGTAAGTTTAAATATTAGACAAATTAGAAGTTGTCTTTTGAATTTTGAGTTTTTTTTTAATTTAGGGTGAATACAAGATAATATATGTACAAAAAATTTTAACTATTTGACAATGAACGCTCATACCCCTACATACGTGCTTGAACTCGGGACCTCAAGGATAACAACAATCTCTTAATCACTAAGGTCGCTTAGTTTATGTTTAATTTCAAGTTTAAATACCTAATAAATCTTTATACTTTTTTTAAATAATATAATATTTCGATTTCTGTCAATATTTAATTTGAACTCCGTCCTAAAAAAACATAGTTTTGAGCTTTATAATTTTTTTATGTTTAATTTCAATAAGGTTAAGACATATATTACCGTATTGTTACGTCATTACGTTACAACTTTAATGAAATTAATTAAAATATAAAGTAACAAAAATGTCACGTTAATATTAAAAACAATTAATAAAAACACGTCAGCATCACTAAAACAGAACCTACAAATATAATCAATCAACTACGTAAACGTACGTATCGTCATGTCAACCATCCAAACACGCGAAGACACAAATATTTTCATACGCTTGGGTGTAGTGAATCCTTGGTTCCAAAACAAACCAAGGCTTGGGATTTGGGAGGTCGGTCTCATAAAACTCGAACACCTCTTTTAGGCTTTTAGCTGATCCAGTCGCGCGTTTCATCCACTCAAAGATCGATGGTAAATCTGTCTCCATTCAGATCGGATCTCCCTTGTGTTCTTTTTGCTTAATTTTCTTTGTGATTTTGTTCTGATTCATGGGTTTTTTGTTCCAGGCTTCTGCAAAAGCAATAACGAGTCCAGTTCCAGATGCGTGGTACCCAACCCTAGCCGTCTTGATGCTCGCCGTTGGCCTTGTCCTCACCGCTTCATTCTTCATGTAATCACCTTGATCTTATCTCCTCCACGACGTTTCTTCCTATTTTGCTATAATGATCTTCTTTCTCCTTTTTCTTTTTTTGTTCTTATTGATTCGGTTTAGGATGCGGCTTTTGTTTTTTGCACTTGTATACTTGAAATTTTGTATAAATAGATATGGTTATTCTTGTGTGGTTTGTACTTGATAATTGTCTATGCAACAGGGGAAAAAATTAGCCAAAATTGAAACTCAGTTTGTGTAATTTAAAATGTTCCTTCTGTAGATTTGTTGATACGTTTAGAAGATATATCTTATTTGCTAGGCAGTTGGTAGGCTACAGTTTATTCTTTTATATTTGGTGAGAATAGAATACAGTGTGGATTTGAAGTGGATGATCTCCATTGCCCTTTGCGTTTTGGTGGGTAGCTAATTTGAATCGTCGGTTGCAGCCGAGGTGTCTGCTTTGGTTCCTTTTGGGTTTATTTCTACTTTCATAGAGTATCTCAGTCTTTTTCTGGTTTACAGTTTCTGTTTTTTTCGACTTTGAACTTTTATTTAATCTATTAATTCCATAACATTGCATAAGGCATTAAGCTGAATTTCAAAAGAGATAGATGAACTTTTAGCTTGTGTAAAGTTCTATCTTATCCCCTCTAGTTTCTCATCATTCTTCATGCATCTTGTTTTGCTGATTTTGCTGTTTTAGCAGTTAGCGCATTGTTTTCAGATCAACCTTACGGTTAGAACTTGAGAGTTCTTTTTTGTTCCACTGTCCTTTTAGTCTACCTGTGTTTGCTTCCTTGAAAGTAATCAATCTCTTTGCATGCGTGGGATCTCATTGTAATAACTTGTAGGTCATTCCTCATTTCATCGGTGCTGATGCTCACCGGTTAAATTACACATGCATCTTTTGGCTGAAGAGTTAATCTCTTTGCATGTGTGGGATCTCATTTGTAATAACTTGTAGGTCATTTCTCATTTCATTGGTACTGATGCTCACCGGTTAAATTACACATGCATCTTTTGGCTGAAGAGTTCCGAGTCGGTTGGATATTGTAATTAGAACTTTGAAATCTCTTAACAGTACTGCAATGGTTCCTCTTCAAAGTCCTTTCTGCTTGATATGTTTTCCTGAGATTCTTTAATTACGCATTTGTTACTGATGTTTGTCAAATTAAGTTTTCGTGTTTGCTATACTGTTTGATATTACCCAAAATATGCAGTTATGAAGCAACTTCTTCCAAGCGAAACCGCAGTCTTGCCAAGGAGCTCACCACTGGGGGAGTGGCATCCGTCTTCCTGGTATAGCTTTCTGTATCCTTTTGGCCGGATCTCTCTCTTCCATATACCTTAGTTATTTGTGCATTATTGATGCTTGCTTCTTAATATCCTCACAGGGTTTTGGATCATTGTTTCTGCTACTCTCGGCTGGCGTTTATGTCTGATTATTGTATTACTTGACCGTTGTAAAACGATTTCCCGAGCCGGAATCATGTCATGTTATGGATCATGGATTTGACATTGTCATTTTTAGACGTTATTTATCAGATGAGGACAGCTTCTTTGATAACATTTTGATATCACCCGTGAGTGTTCTTATTACATGATGTTATCACAATGTAGTTCAATGTGAAAGATCCATCTTTATCTCTCCGGTGGACCGGAAGAATGATATCAGTTTCGAAACAATAAGTGCAATTCAAGAACAGCGGTGTCGACCGAACCAAGACTCGATAGAAAATTTAAGACATCGAACCGTGATGTTCGATATCCTCTTGGGGGAATATAGAGAAGCATAGATTTCACATTTAAATAATTTTAATCAGATCACATACCAAAATAAACTTTACAAACAACCTACACCTACAAATAGACCCATAAAAACCAACAAAAACAGACTTGAGCTAAGAGCCTAAAGCCCCCATTCAACTGCTAAAAACGGATTCAAACTGCAAACTTTGCTATGACCAACAAAGCCTTAAATGCGTATCCCTTTTCATCAATGAAAAAAAATGACTGAATTTTGCTACGACCAACAAGCCCTAAATACTTCTCTATCAAATTCAACAAACAAGATAGAACATTCATAGCCATGATATTTGATGTCTATATAAGAAGTTCGAATTTGAGTCTGAGTCTTATATTAGATGAGCTTGACCGAACACCAACTTTTACGTTTAAATTTGAGGAGTAATTGATTTATATGTGCTTAAACTTGATTAAATTTATTTAGAGTGGTGAATATTGGTACAAAATTTTATATGAATCTAATTATTATTATTTTTTAAAATGTTCGATTAAACTCAAAAATCATTTGAATCGAATATTATACAAGTTTAATAACTGGACTTGATAATTATCAAAATTTAATTTATTTTATAGAAATTTAAATCAAAATACAAATATAAAGATCTAGTTTACGTCCCTACGTAAATCATCACTCAAATATAGACTATAAACGAACCATTTATGAACTGTGCGGCGAGAAGTTTGTTTATGTTCGTTTATTTATTAAAGGAACGAACATGAATAAGATTTTGCGTTCGTTTAATTAAATGAACGAACATGAACAAAGGGCTCGTTTGTTCATTTACGTTCGTGAACGTTCGATTATATGTTCGTTGATGTTCGTTCATTTATGTTCGAACAGGGGCAAGTTGAATATGTTACGAAGATTATTGAAGTTGTTTGGATTTTAAGAAGATTGTTTTGTTGAACAAATTAACTTTAAGACTTTATATATTCATATAGTTTATTTATGATTTGTGTATGGATTTCAAGAAGATTGTTTTGTTGAAAAAATTAACTTTAAGACTTTATTATGTTCATATAGTTTATTTATGATTTATGTATGTTTTTGTCGTATTCGAACAAATTGACTCTAAAGTTGCATGTTATATTAATGAATTTTAAGTTGTTATTTTTGTTGTTTACTTTTTTTACATTCGTTTGTTGTGTTCGAATAAGTTTTTTTTGTGTTTGTATTGTTCGTTTATGTTCGCTCGTTCGTGCCCGTTTATTATTTAAATGAACCAACATGAACAAACTATATTCCTTAATGAATAAACATAAACAAAAAAATTTTTTGTTCATTTATGTTCACGTTCGTTTATGTTCGTTTATTTATTAAATGAACGAACATGAACATACCTTCATTCGTATGCGTTCGATTTTACTCAAATACATAAATAACTCAACGTCATTGACAGAGCCTCTTCGAACTTGCCGCGTGTACATCACTCCACTTTTAAAGAGCGTAGCCCATCCGCGAAAAAAACAAACCACCAGTTTTACCGTATTTCCCCCATTCTGTTTTCCAAACTCTAATACAGTCTCAGTAAGGTCCGACGTCCGGTTTCGGGTGCCCGGATACCAGTGTTTGTTTTTCTCTTCTCATTTTGATTTGAAAGCACCAGCACACACTCACCGTCTCAAAAATGGAGTCTCCCCAGCCCCAACAGCAACAAGGACCCAAGAAGAGAGGCCG